CCCCAAAACCCCAAAACCCCAAAACCCCACGTTACAGAATTAATAAGAATCAGTTTAATTAATTATTGCATATTAAAAATTAAGTCAAAATTATATAGCTATAAATATTTTTTCCTTAAGTTGAAGAGCAAGTAAATAATATGCTCAATATCTCATAAATAAGCGATTTTTAAATGGCTTTCGAGAAAATAGAAATACTTGAGGTACCACAAAGCGAAGAATTCAAGAAGAATGTGTGCATACCATATTTCAAGGACATATTCAGAGTAATATTAAGTGTATCATAATGTTGCAGGATTTAGCACAGAGATCTGACGATAAAGCAAAAGGAGTTAACAAATTTTCATTTCTAGAGGTATTTTATTTTCATCATCATTTTTCAGTATACATCGTTGCCTGGAATTTTAGCAGATAGACTATTTTAGGTGTTTGATAGCGATAAAGATGATTATTTAAATGCTAGAGAATTTATAACGGGCCTATTGAGAATATATTGTTCGACTCTTGAATAGAAAACAAAATTCATTTTTGAGATTTATGACTTTGATAACGATGGTTGGGTATCTTGAGAAGATATTTCTACAATACTGAGTTATATGCCGGTAGTAAACGATTAATTGGTAACCGCTGAGGGAAAATTCACACAAGAAGGCGGTGGAGTTACTAATTTTAAAGATAGAGTAGAAAATCTTTAGTAATTGCACGAGATATTGGACCTTTGTTTTGGAGCTAATTAGAAGATTGATTTGGAGCAGTTTTCACGTATCAATGAGGAGATTGCATCTGATAGTCTGCTACTAGTTCTTACAATATTTAGAGAAAAATTACCTTGCTCTTAAAACTTTTGGAGATTATAAAGAAAATTTGAAGAGTCCTAAACTACCACAATGTCTCCCAAATCGTACCTATAAAATACCCATTAGGTCAAAAAATCTTCGACTCCAAACAATAACGCCAATAGAAAGACACTTGCTTCACCTAGGATGACTTAGTCACAACATTACTCACCCAATACACAGACTGAAACTAGGACCACAAATCCGGTTCCAAGTTCCCAAGATAAATATGTAGAGAAGCCTGAATAATCTAAAAAGAAAAGGAAGCTGTTCATACCAAGAGTCGAATCACTAGACGGAGAAAGTAAAACAAGTTCAATACCGAACTTTTAAATGGATCAATCATTCGAGCCTCCAAAAGACATCAATGAGTTATTTATTGACAATGTGAAACAGTCAAGCTTTGGTTCAAGTGACTCTCGATAACCCAATAATAGTAGCAATAACAATAACGTGATGAATATCGATTTTTCTTATCAGATCTAATCAATAGCGATCTAAAAGTAAACTTTGTAACGAAGATTGAGTTAGTTTAAGTATTGTGCATGTGGCTTGCCGATTGATGAATTTCAAGATTCGTGTGACTCATGTCAAGGACTGAGTACTCTTCAATTTGAAGGAGCTATTTTCAAAAAATAAAAGAAGGGAGGCATATTTAAACTGTATTGGTATGTTTTGCTTGGAAAAGAGCTATATAGTAAGTATTAACAAAAATTTACATCATTTCCTATTAGCGTACAAGACAAAAGGCGATTAAAAACATAAAGAGATGCAAAGTCTGGTGGGTGTTCACGTTAAAGATTAGGAACCTGAATAAGTAGACGAATATACAATATTATTTCCGTTTATGCTGATTTTTCCAAATAAAACTCGCGTCTACTATTTTTAAAATCAGGTAATTCGGATATTTGATATAGATTTTAGGAGGAAAAACTTAGATGGATGGACTTCATAAAGCAGGTAATTGGCTATTCAGATTTCTTTTAGTACTATGAAGTGGGAGATACTTTAGGATCAGGCAAGTATGGCGTTGTTCGCAAGGCTTACCATAAAAAGTAACCCAAATAAGTAGCAGTAAAGTTTATTAAAAAAAAGGATCTTACCCTTAAGGATCTTGAACTAATGAAGCGAGAAATAGAAGTACTAAAAGTTTGCTAGCACCCAAATATAATAAAGCTAGAGGACGTATTTGAGAATCAAGATTTCCTATTTATAGTAATGGAGTACGTATCAGGTGGTGACTTCTTCGGCTACCTCTAGAATAGAGGCTTCAGGTTAACTGAGGAAAGGGCGCGGTAAATTTGTCATTAAATTGCCACTGCACTTTATTATCTACATAGTTTTGGAATCGCACATAGAGATCTAAAGCCGGAGAATATTCTTATGCATAACTCTGCTGATGATTCTGAGGTAAAAATAGTAGATTTTGGGTTGTCGAAGAGTTTCGCCCCATCTGAGAAATCACTAGAACCATATGGAACTATAAGTTACGTTGCGCCAGAGATCTTACTTTAGTAACCGTACGACAAAAAAGTTGATCTGTGGTCTCTAGGAGTAATTTTACATGCGATGCTGAGCGGGACTTTACCGTTTGATGACCCCAATCAAGTTGAAGTCGCCAGGAAAATTGTGAATTAGAATGTTGCCTTCAATAATCCAATTTGGAATTCTATTTCGGCTGAGGCTAAAGATTTAATATCAAGTATTTTTTCCATTTTTAACTATTTTATAAGGACTCCTATTGAAAAATCCTTCTGAGAGAATAGGCTTGTAGCAGGTACTGGAACACTAGTGGATAGCTAAAAGAAACAAGAAAATTGCTAATTTCAGAAAGAAATCAAGCGATGAAGGAGACAGGATCAAATAATTTATAGCGTACACTAATACAGATCTAGAAAAGGCCAGGTTGAATAGCCCGAGGCTGACAAAGTATTGATTGAACAAACAAACTTACCACAATCTAATCAAAATATAACTAAAAATAGGTTATTGTCTTTAAGACAAGCAATTACAAATCTCGATTCTCTCATGGGGTTTTGGGGTTTTGGGG